CAGGTGGACTCTATTTACTAATTAGGTGACTTCTGAAGGCAGTTGGCTGCACTGGATTTTATTTAAGGATATGAGAGTAAAGGGGGCTGAATACATATGCACGCCACACTTTTCAGATTTTTATATGTAAATAATCTTGACCACGTATCATTTTCCTTCCATGTCACAATTATGCAATACTTTGTGTTGGTCTACATAAAATCCCAATGAAATTCATTTAAGTTTGTGGCTGTAATGTAACAAAATGTGGAAAAATTCAGGGGGCATGAATACTTTTGCAAGGCACTGTATATTGGTTGAGAGTAGTTTTTCTAGGAGAAAAATAAACACGATAAATAGTTTTGAATTTGCCTACTATCTAAACTAGTGACCAGCTCATGTCTTAAAACTCTTATTAATAGGTTTGGAAAAACTGTTGCGGTTACATTTTGGAATATACCAGGTATCTCATACAGATATTGATGTACTACTGCAGGTGTCTGCTGAAGAAGTCTGGGTGTCGGACACCGCGGATTGAGCTGGATGAGATCGGGCCATCGTTTGACTTTGTCTTAAGAAGAACTCATTTAGCTTCAGATGACTTCTACAAGTTAGCCCACAAACAGCCCCGGGCCCTGAAGGTAAAAAAATCACCTGGTAAAATTAATGAACATTTTGGCTAACTCTCTCAGCTTTCCTTTGATAGGAAGTGGATTGGAATAGAAATTAAACTACAAATAGAGGCAGCTGCACTCGAAACATTTTAGATAACTGATACAATTATTGTTAATTCTTTTGGCATTTAACTAAGTCATCGTTTTCAAATAAGACAAAGTATGTTATTGCCAGGTTAATGGCCCCATGAGGCTTTACTGCTTATTATATACACCCACAAAAAAAAAGTCAGCTGTTGGATGGAGAAGCGATGCAAAGGCTGCTTTTCGGTTCTTCGATCCTGACAGCAAATAGATTGAAGGTATGAAGTTTCTCCCCAAGGTGTCACCAGAGGAACGGCCATGCGTTGCTCAAACCCACACAACTTTTATTTTATCTCAAATACACCAGTTATGTCAGTGCTCGACAATTATTTATGCTTGACATGGAGTATTTTGAATGTGTATAATTGGATTTATAAATGTCATGAGGTGGAACGAGCAGATATCAGACAGTGTAGAATAAGATGATCTAACATCTGTAAAGCCATTGGAAACTACAGGGGTCACACAGATTGGTGGACTGATGAATGACCAAAGAAACGACCAGCGTCTGCACCTATAGAGCATTACTGCTAACAGTATTTTTTGTAATTGTTGAGTAAAATGTCCCCAGAATGTCCAAAGATTGTCAAAACATCTGTCAATACAGTTGAAGTCAGAAGTTTCCATACACCTGAGCCAAATACATTTAGACTGTCTTTCACAACTGCTGACATTTGATCCTATAAACATTACTACTTTTTTTAAGAATGTGAAATGTCAGAATAATAGCAGAGAAAAAGATTTAATTCAGCTTTTATTTCTGTCATCACGTTCCAAGTGGGTCAGACGTTTACATACACTTGGTTAGTTGGTAGCCTTGCCTTTAAATTGGTTAACTTGGGTCAAACGTTTTAGGATGCCATCCACCAGCTTCTTACAATAAACAGCTGGAATTTTTGCCCATTCCTCTTGACAGAACTGGTGGAACAGAGTCCGGAATGGAGGCCTCCTTGTTTACACAGAGTTTTTCAGTTCTGCCCACAAATGTTCTATTGGATTGAGGTCAGAGCTTTGTGGTGGCCACTCCAGTACCTTGACTTTGTTGTCCTGAAGCCATTTAGCCACAATTTTGGAAGTCTGCTTGTGTTAGGGCACAAACCTGCTCCTTCCTCTCTCCCTCTCCAAGAGGCCATGTTTCTGGGAGTGACTGGCAGAGAGTGAGCATAGCTGTAGCTCATGAACCAATCTTCTCCAGAGTATTTAGTCAGGGCTCATCTGTCTCCTCCTGGCCAGTCAGTTTCATTGTACCCCCGTGCTCACGATGTTCTTTGGCTTGCAGGACTCCCCCCTTTTACCTCCAGACATAATGATGGTCATTGTGGCCAAACAGTTCAATTTTTTTGACAGACCAGATGACCTTTCTTCAAAAAGATCTCTGTCCCCATGTGCAGCTGCAAACCGTAGTCTCCATTTTTTTATGGCCTCTTCATTGCTGAGCAGCCTTTCAGGTTGTCTCGATACAGGACTCATTTTACTGTGGATACAGATTCTTTGGTACCTGTTTCCTCCAGTGTTTTCACAATGTCCTTTGCTGCTGTTCTGGGATTGATTTGTACTGTCTGGACCAAAGTACATTCCTCTCTAGGAGACAGAACGCGTCTCCTTCCTGAGCGATATGATGGCTGCGTTGTCCCATGGTGTTTATACGTGTGTAGTATTGTTTGTACAGATGAACGTGGTACCTTCAGGCTTTTGGAAATTGTTCCCAAAGATGAACCAGACTTGTGGAGGTCCACAGGTTTTTTTTTCTGAGGTCTTGGATGATTTCCTTTGATTTTTCCCATGGTGTCAAAGAGGTACTGAGTTTGAAGGTAGGCCTTAAAATATATCCGCAGGGGCACTTCCTACTGACTCAGTAATGTAAAGTGCCCTGTCAGGACCTTCTAAAGCCATGACACAATTTTCTGGAATTTTCCAAGCTGTTTAAAAGCACAGTCAACTGAGTGTATGTAAACGTCTGACCCACTGGAATTGTAATTTAGTGAATTATAAGTGAAATACTCTAAAGAACTGCTGGACCAGTGACATGCAAAAAGTACACATCCTAACTGTTTTGCCAAAATGAGAGTTTAACATGACATCTGTGGAGTGGTTAAAAAAATCACTTTTAATGACTTCAACCTAAGTGTATCTAAACTGACTACAGCTGTAATTTTCTCTGAGTGGCAAAGTGGCATGTTGTTAATGCTTCTTTTCACTGTTACAGCCCAAGAAGAAGAAAAACATTTCCCATGATGCCTTTGGTACCAGGTTTGGCCGGGTGCACATGCAGAAGCAGGATCTGTCCAAACTACACACGCGAAAGATGAAGGGCCTGAGGAAGAGAAAGGCAGCTGTGACTGCTGAAGAGCAGGAAGGACAGCCACTCAAAGTGGCCAAAGTTGAGGGCTGAGATGGGACACCTGGACTGCTCACACCAGCTGTGCATGGACTGGGCGGTGTTGGTCATTGTGGTAGTCAATAGTCCTTGGTCATGTGCTTATCATTACCAGCTTTCACTGGTATAGGGACGTGGCATGTGATTTGCCCCCAGGCAATCAGAAAACACATCAGTTATTCTTCTCTCCCTGTTCTATTTCCTCATGTGACATCCGGGTGTCTCTTTTTTTAATTTTTTATTAGTATTATGAATGTGCCAGCTCACTTGTATGGTAAAACCACAAAGCATCAGAAAATGGCAAAGTGCAGCCAATGTTATCCATTGGCAGTTCTTCTAGGAGGTTGAAGTATGTTAAAAGAAAATGTCACTGGCAGCAGTCACTTTCTTAAAGAAAATAAAATTGTCTGTTTATATTGTCTGTGTGTGTGTGTGTGTGTGTGTGTGTGTGTGTTCTGTTTTTCTTCTCTTCCTTAACAGTTTACATTTAAGTCCCTTAATGTAAGAGAGGTTCATTGCTTTCCATTAGTGATAATGTTCCATATTTCTGGTATTAACAGTACCACCAGTGGTTACTTTGGCTACACTGAGTAGATCAGTTCCTCTTTATTGCCAGACTCAAAAAAAATACACAGACAAAATATAAACAAATTGTAAAAAAAATCATTCTTAATTATACCAATGTTTCCACAGAAAAGGTTACAATTGCAGAGCACTGAATCGAGGATTAGACAGCATAATTATATTCTGGGACTCATTCAGTCAATAGATACATTTGTAAAGCAGGTTTCTTAATAGAGCCTGGGGATTGTTGACTCCTACATTAGAGAACAAGTCATTTGCACTACAGTACCTGGGTTTTTTTAGGTCAATAATACAGAATTAAATGTGTCAAAGAATGAGAGAGTGTTTGTATGGAAGGTCAGTATATGAGTTTATTATGTGGCCCCAAAGAGGGGGGTGTCAGGCCATGCCGTTATAAATCTTCCACAGTAAGCAACACCATTTTCCAAACCTAGTAGTAGTATCAGCATACAATCATTATTGGCAACCTGAAGCTTCTCTATTGTTGCCTTTTTAAACTTTATCCACAAGGGTGCAGTAAAAAGAGGAGTGCAATATGCTGTAAAAAGACTTACTGTATTTTGACATGGTCTGAACACCTGAGTAAGAGTGTGTGTGTGAATCTGTAAGCATGCAGTAAGCTGCAGGATTCATTTGAAGACAGGGGAGGGGAATCTGACAGAATGCCTCTGACACTTTCAGAGCAAGGGTCAGACTCCCCATTGTCTCCAGGTAGCTCACTGGCAGGTAAAGGCTTCATTGCCATTTCTAAAGCCTCTTCTGCACTGAAATGTCTCTTCATTTTTGCTACCTCTCACCTACCTTACACACACATACACACACTCTCACTCACCCACACCCACCCACACACACAAAACTCTTGGGCCCCCCTAGTAGTCACACGGCTCCATTATATGGCAAAAATACACAAATTTCATGTATCGGCCTACAATGGGAAAAGGTTGAATCTGGTAAATTATGATAAAAATATCAAATATCACTACTTTTCTTCAAAATCAAATGCTGACATTACAGAATGCATGGTTTTATGGTTTTATACTGTAATGGGAGTGACATAAAAATGTGGTTTCAATGGAAGTCAATGGGGCATTTTTGGCCACGAATGTGTTGAATATCTGGCACCACATAAAAAATACTAAAGCAATCAAATCAATTTTGTTGCTAATCTTTGACATATCCAAGACTCTACTCACCACCAAAGCCCCATCCTACTACTATTTATTATATGGAAAATAATCCATTTATGGTGTTTTTTTGTAATAAATATTTCATAATTCAAATCATACACTGGCATTTAAATGGTTAAAATCCTGATAGTTTTGAGCGAGTCAGAAGTTTAGGAGATTTATGAAAAAAGCAGAAAAAATATTGATGTATGAAAAATTAATATTCATATTTTGTATGTGTACATTTTTGGCACGAATGTGAAAAGTGGGTACAAAATGCATACAAAGAGTATAAATGACATTTAAGAGTAAACGACACTGGATTTCAAAAATATAACTAAAAAGAAACTTTCATGCCACAAACTGCAACACAGCCGAAATGATCGCCAAATTTAAAAAACGGTTCAGTAGGGCACAAGAGTTAAATGTAGCGATATTGCCTTAGAAAGAGGTGGCGCTAATAATTTAGAGGCTTGGTTGTCATTTCCACAACAGAAGGCTACAAAAAGCCAGCGCTGCTTTTTTTAAAAATAAAAAGGATAGAAGACACAATATCATCAACATGCAATGTCATATAACAAACATTTTATTGCTGGTATCACATCTTTGAGAGGGTAATAGCTCTGATACTGTGCAGTAATATTTGCTTTTTTGAAAAATGCAGATATCTCATATGTCACTAACACCACAAGTGCTCTTGGCAGCTCAGCACAAGTTAACAGAACCAATAGGCCTATTAATTTATTACCTCAGCCTATATGAGCTCTGGTGTATTTGCATTAGTAGGAAATTGCTAAACGTAGGCCCTACGTGTATTAAAGCAGTATTTTGCCTGTCATGGTCGTCACGATGATTGAGCGCCGCCCCTTCGTGCTGTCCGCTTATAATACTGCAGGAGCGCACGCGGCTCTGCCACCATTCAACCGTCAGCGTCATATCTATGGATGAAACTTTACCGTAACTCGCAGGTCACCATTTTTCAGATAATACCTGTATTTGAATATTCATTTTTCTTACCTCTGTCACAGTAGGCGACGTTCCTCCACGTTTTAAGAATAGCATAAGGTCTGCCTGGTTAAACTTCACATGGTCACAATGACAGAAGGGAACGGCGCGCCAGACGGTGACACAGCCGGTAAAAACGAGGTGTCCGCCGGCGTACCAACAGAAGACAAGCGTCCGGAGGAGAAGGGGGACAACGGGGAGAGTAAACTGGCAGTCCCGGAACAAACGGCGGCGGAGGAGGGCGAGTTTGTGCACCCCGAGGGTGGCTGGGGCTGGCTGGTCATGTTGGCTGCCATGTGGTGTAACGGCGCGGTGTTCGGTATACAGAACGCCTTCGGTATACTCTTCCTCTCCCTCCTCCGGGAGTTCGGCTCCGAGCACGATGAAGACCTTCGCTTCAAGACGGGTGAGTGCGGAGGGGACGCCGACACACGGGCCACACGCGACTGCGTTGGAGGTCGTGTTGTATGTTAATTTAGAAACTAGCCTTACATTTCAGGATGCCGTTATTTTAAATGAAGTTGGGTAATTGGATTGGATGTGTTCACTGTTTTGTTTCGGAATTTTATGTAGCTATAAAATCATTTATATTTTATATAAAAGTGTGATCAGCCTTTGGTAAATCCTGGATGCTGAAGACGAGCAGTAGGCCTGTTTCTTCTCCATAATGACCGAACGTTGTCGAAGTTAAAACTGTTAGTTTGTTGTAAGTCGGCATAAAACTACCTGACTTTATAGCCAGTCAGCTCTTTTTAAAGGCCATAAAGCAGCTACATTAACATTCGGAAGCAGAAAACTTGTTCTACTGTCACTGAAGTTATTCAGGAGACAAAAACCATAGCGCAGCGTATTTTATTATCACGGCATTTAGGTTATTTTTTTATACGCCTGTCCCTTAAAAATCTTTCTTATTCTATCAGGAGTTTAACAGACATTATATCGTGCTTCTTGTAGTAGAGATGGTGCTGAATAGGATTTTAAATCGTTTGACAGCTGTGTTAAAGTCAGATTTATTGACAACACATGGGCAGTGAATGATGGAAGAGGGTCCTTGATTTTCTGTATTCACAGCCCTGAAAAGCTTATTTAAGTCACCAAGTGGTTCCTACTGCAGAGGCAGCCTGAGGACTGGAGGCAAGGAAAAGGAAGTCGTGGAAGAAGTACTCAGATCGTTTACCATAGTAAAAGTAGCAATACCACAGTGTAAAAAGCCTTTGTTGCAAGTAAAAGTCCTGCATTCAAAATGTTACTCGAGTAAAGGTGCAAAATATTAGCATAAAATATACTTAAAGTACTCATTATGCAGAATGGCACAGTTCACACTAATATATATATATATATATATTGGACTATAATGTTGGTGTATTACTGTGTAGATCACACTTAATGTTGCAGCTGGTAAAGATAGATCTGTTGTTAACTATCTTATATGCTCATACCTTGAAGTTCTTTACATACTTCTGGGCTTGTGAATGTCCCACCAGGAGAGATTAACTAAACAAAATAGAGTCTACTCACAAAACCTTATTGATTACTCATCTCATCTCATTTTCTATACCGCTTAGTTCCAAATGGGGTCGCGAGGGGCTGGAGCCAATCCCAGCCGGCATTGGGTGAAAGGCGGAGTACACCCTGGACAGGTCACCTGTCCATCGCAGGGCCAACACGCAGACGAACAACCACACACACACACTCATTGATTACTCTGTTTTGTTTAATTAATCTCAGTCTGAAAAGTAACTAGTAACTGAAGTGATCAAATAAATGTAGTGAGTAAAAAGTACAATATTTTTCTGTAAAATGTAGTGAAGTCAAAGTAGCAGTAAATGAAAATACTCAAGTAAAGTAGATACCTTAAAACTGTACTTAAGTACAGTACTTGAGTATATGTACTTAGTTTCCACTTCTGGGAAAAGTGTGTCAGAGAGAAAGGGATCCTGTAGATTTACCCTGTGTTGTTCAGCTGTGATTGTAAGCACCTGTTGTTGGTCCCACTGTTGGGCAGATGATTGTGTTACAGTAAAACTGTGTTGCAACCACTTTTGTTTGGCCGTCTAGGACCTGAATAGTTCAGGGATACACCGTGTGTTGACTTAAAGGCAGTTTTTAATGATTAATCAAAGCAGCCCTTGTTTGTTCTAATCTACCATTATCCTGGGTTTCTGTGTTTTAAGGCAACAATTAAGCAGATGGACACACACGAGCATCGGTATGACAGTATGAAACTTTAGATGTGCATTAAGAAATCTGGATTCTCTAATCCTCTGTGGGAACTGCAGCAACAGTGACCAACTGTCCATTCATTTGTCTTTCATAAGATGGAACTATTTTACTATTCTATCCACCAAGGGTGAAGGTTGTTTTTGCTGTTGTTTGTTGGTTTGTTAACAGCATCAAAAAGGGATGTTCTGATGCCAATACCAGTATCGGGTCCGATACCATTTCTGCTCCTAAAAGTTGCCCCACCTATACCAGTTAAGGGTAGCATTAAATTAACCTCATGCTGGCTGAGCCAGTCGTTGGGCAGCAGAGAAGAAATTTCAGTAGTTCAGGGATATTATAAGATAAGTGACCACAACAAAAGTGAAGCCATCTCCAAGATTGGCTTCTCTGTTGTGTGTGTGTGTGTGTGTGTGTGTGTGTGTGTGTGTGTATGAATGAGTGTCCCTCCCTACCCGTCTCACACAGACACGCAGTCACATTTTATGCAGATGTTGACACCAAGCAGCAACCCCCGAGGCTGAAAACAAAAGTACCAAGCCTGCAGTTCCTTGAATAGCCACTTTAGGCTGGCTCCAAAAGTGAGTCGATCCCCATAGACTCCCATGTTAAACTGCCCAATTTTACAGCAGAAATAAACATGTTTACAGCCTCTATAGATAATTTCCTCTTCCATTTGTACGAGGGGTGAATTATTTTATAAATTGCCCATTCAGATTATATTGGGACTAAAAATTACACATAAAAAGGGCGTGGCTGCTTTGAGTGACAGGTGAGAGGGTTCTGCCATAGGTGGCTAGCCACTAACTCACATGTGTCAAACTCCAGGCCGGCCCGCGGGCTTCATCCGGCCCGGCATACAATTACAGCCGGCCCGCAAGATCATTTTCTATATCTTTTTTTAATGGCCCGTTGACATGAAACGCCGATAACAAACTAAAAATCCCATAATGCAGCACAACAGCTGCCTTACTGAACGATAGGCTACCTGCGATCATTCCCGCGTCAGTTACGTCAGATCAATCAAGCATCTGGTGATGTATACAACCCCAATTTCAAGCCAAAGCTAGCCCCTAATAATGGCCAAGAGAAAAGTTGATTCTGAAAACAGAGCTTTTCTAAACCGGTCATAGGCTGAGTATATGTTTACTGACATAAACCCGTGTGTCTTATTTGTGGAGCTAATGTGGCTGTAATTAAGGAATATAACCCAAGATGGCACTACGAGACAAAACATCAGGACAAGCTGAAAAACGTGAATGCAGAGCAGAAGCTACAGAAGGTAGAGGAGTTGAAGAGGAATCTGACATCACAGCAGACATTTTCACCAAAG